ATATATATATATATATATATATATATATATATATATATATATATATATATATATATATATATATATATATATATATATATGTATACTGAAGATTCCACCGTGGATAAATAAATTTTATTGTATTGTATTGTATGGGCACTAATAACTATAATACCATATTTAGGTTTGTGATTGCTTAACTACAGTAACTAGAGGGTATACGTACGTTCATAAGCGCCATTTGGCTTTCCGCGCGTACACATCTTCTGGCGTTGGTATACACAGACTGTATGATGAATCATGAGCATTGCCAGTCCACTTAATCACTGGATAAAATGTAGCATCACATTTCGCTGCTGCGTCGCATGCAGTTTTAGGCCTCTGCTTGAGAGGAACATCGGCGAATTTTCGTTTCCACCTGACAATTTCTGAATCAAGGCTGTTTTCTTCGCAGAAAGTAAGGTACTTTCCAAAGAACTCTTTCAAATCTTTCTTATTTGAATCAGTTATCCAAATATACTGGCACAAGAGATTGATCTTGCGTCAAATATATCGGCGGCCGGCCGATATATTTGACGCTGGTTGGTAGTCTGGTACCCAGTTACCTCGTATAATCGTATATGAAAAACAATTTATAGTGAAAGAGTACAATTAAAATCTAAATCGCTTAAATTTTAAGCCTTAAAAATATGAATAAAATAAAATAAATAAAATAAAATAATTTACACCACATTATAGGCTACATCGCATACCTAACATGTTCTTTAATTTCAAATGTTTGAACTAGCCAGAGAAAATTTTTTATTATTTATAGTTATTTGAAAAAAAATTTGAAAATTGCTGCCCCCCCCCGCTAATATCCACAATTTGGACAAGTGGCAATATTGGTGTCGCCACCTTAAGTAACTCTAGAAGGCGAACGGTTCAATATTTTGATGCGAAAAAATGCAACGATTAACGTAATATGTTCAGTGATAAAAAAAAATGAAAAAATTTGAATATTCGATTACAGGTAACGATGTAGTACCACAAAATATGATAGGGGACTTTTTTTTGGGACACCCTGTATAGTAATAATATAATTTACTGAAGTTTATGGCTTTGGTGAGACATATACATATATGATATACCATGGACATTGGACATAATTTAATAATATGTTTATAGTTTGCAACAAAAAGTGGAATTAAACATGCACGTGATAATTATTGTAAACAAAGTGACGAGTAAATTATTGTACATTTTAACGCCACATAATTAATATAAATATTAAATAGTAACATTGTAAAACAAGCTTAATGCACACAATATGCACTGAATATTATCAGAATAATTCTCAATATTGTTTCATAAAAGAGAAGCGATATAAAGGGCAATGCCTTGTCCCTAGGTTTCGGTTTGCGAATTTTTTCAGTCTTTCTCAAGAATTATTCTTAGCCTAGGAGTCAGACAAGCCCAGGACACAATAAAGCATGCAAGCTTTTAGTATTCATCTTTATATGAAAAACTGTCTGTACCAGTGTAGGTAGTACCAATGTGAAAATGCTGTGCTGAGTGGTTATATTACTACCTTAAAAAATAAGCAGAAACTCGACGTTTCGAGCGAAGGCCCTTCGTCAAGAGTTAGTAGCAGGGATCGGGGAAAGTGCACGGGCTTTTATACTAAGAGTATGAAAGTATCACGTGACAAAAAAATAAACCAATTAGATGGGTTTAATAATAATAAAGTGTAAACAAAATATGTAAATCGCATTACAGAATATAATATAATTAAAAATATAAAAATAAACAGGAAGTTAAGACAATTACTACAAAAAATAATCAAAACAAAACAAAACACGAGTGGGAATAAGGTAAAAGTAAAAGTAATAAATAGAAGTTGTCAATGTCTGCTATAGACACTAGACAGGCAAAGACAGATGGCATCATAGACAAAACAGAAGACATGTTTTCTGGATTGTCTATGATGGCATTAAACATAAGAAAAGCGTTCATTAATACCCGAAGGGTGAACAGTGCCAAGTTTGGATATGAGGCGCATTTCATGTCGTTTGCGGCTATCGTTGCTTCCAGAAATGGGACAGAGGGCTCGAATTAACATATCTGAAACACTGTGATTGCCATTATTAAAATGTCTGGCAACAGGTTGGTTAACATCATTGCCAATAACTGCACGCCGATGCTCACCAAACCTTGTCCTTAAACATCTTCCAGTTTCCCCAATGTAAAGCATGCCACATCTGCTGCAAGAGATGCAGTAGATGAGATGGGAGGAGGCGCACGTGAAATGGTGCTTGATGTGAAATTCAGATTTAGGTGCCGAAACAATAGTGGTGGAATCTATAAAATCACAGGTAATTTTACATTTCGACGACAGGCAAGGAAAAGTGCTTTGGACAAGGGTTTCACGGATATTTTTGCTGTGTCGAAAAGAGACTAAGGGGTTATCGGAGAAAATGGAAGATGTTTCAGGGTCGTTTTTCAAAATATAGAAATTCTTGTTGATGACATCTCTAACTTTGAAATTGAAAGGATGATAGTTTAATACTAGGGGGATTTTGTTGTTGCCTGTGACATTAGACGCAGGGTCTGTGAGGGTGTCAGAACGGGGAATTTGGGAGGCCTTCGAAAAGGCAGTGTCTAATAGAGAGGTAGGATAACCACGCTGGACAAAAAAGTGTCTCATCTCCAGACTTTTGGCCTGAAAATCTTCGTCTTCACTGCAGATGCGGCGAAGACGAAGGAGCTGAGAAAAGGGAATCGACCTTTTGGTGTGGTTGGGGTGGGAAGAGGAAAACAGAAGATAGCTATGGGAGTCAGTGGGCTTGTAGAACACAGAAGTAGATAATTTCCCAGCGGGCAAAATGACGTTTATCCAACGTTGAATCAACGTTGGAAATGATCTTCCAGACGTTGGATAGACGTTGAAAAAGGGTTGACTATGCAAATTGGATCGACGTTACTGTTTCGACGTTGAAACAACGTTGAAATTAGGTTGCCAATCTCGTCAACCATAATTCAACGTTGAATCCACGTTAAAACAACGTTGAGATTGGTTCACAAATCGACGTCGTACATTTAACCATGAATGAACCTTAATTCAACGTCTGTTGGCTGCTGTTGAACCAATGTTTGTAAAACAACGTCAGAGCAACGTAGATATTAGGTTGTCGACGTCGCAACCTTTTTTCTACCAAATTTCAACGTTGAAACAACGTCGTGTGCCCGGTGGGTTGTTACCATTGATTGATACAAGGATATCTAAGAATGATACACTGGTCTGACTGATCTCCCATGTGAACTGGAGTGCTGGATGAAAATTATTAACAAAGTTAATAAAGCGTTCCAATTCGACACGAGAACATGATGCTGTGCCAAGACAGTCCTATATGTACCTACCAAGGTAATCAGGGATGGGATCAGTGTACTGTTCGAAGATTTGTTTTTCCACAAAACCAACAAACAAATTAGCATAGTTGGGTCCCATTTTAGTTCCCATTGCTACACCATTTATCTGTTGGTAATGCTCACCATCAAAGGAAAAATTGTTGAGGGTAAGCACCAACTCAGCCAATCGGACCAAAACAGAAGTGACCGGTTCCTGGTTAGGGAGTTTATCTAGAAAGAATTTGAGGGCCCTCAAACCATCATGATGCGGAATTACAGTGTATAAGGATTTGACGTCCATGGTGAAAATGAATTTGTGAGTGCCATGAAAATGAATGTTCTGGAGAATTTGAAGAGCATGCTTGGTATCCTTGATATAGGATGGTAAGTCCCTAACCAAGGGTGCCATGACACGATCGAGAAAACTAGAGATGAGTTCGGTGGAACAACCACAAGCAAATACAATAGGTCTACCTGGGTTGTCAGGTTTGTGAATTTTGGGCAAGAAGTATATGACAGGTGTGCGAGGTGTGATGTGTATGAGGTTTTTGGCAGTCTCAGGGAGATCACCAGTGTTGGTAAATTTATGAATGGTCTGGGTGATGGTGGTTTGATGAATAGAAGTCAAATCCTTGTCAACCCTCCTGTAAAAAGTGGCATCACCCAATTGTCGGTGGGCTTCATTACGGTATAAATCAGCTCTCCAAACAACTAAGGCACCACCCTTATCAGCAGGTTTGATAACAATGTCATTACGAGCATGGAGTGATTGGAGGGCGCTAAATTCATTGTCAGTGAGGTTGGATGGCCTTTTGGGCCTAAATTTGGGGAGTTGTTCTATATCATGTCGACATTGTCGAATGAATAGTTCAAGAGACCCATATTGGTCTTCTGGGGGAGACCAGGAAGATTTTTTGGGGTTGATAGCCTCAAAAACGTCCTTGTGAGCCTCAAAAACGTCCTTGTGAGGGACGGAAGATTGATTATGGAAATGTGCTTTCAGACGCAAGCGTCTGAAAAATGATTCGGTGTCGGTCTTAACTGAAAAAATGTCAAGGGACCCAGGGCTGGGAACAAATTTGAGACCTTTCGCGAGGAGACAATATGGTGTTAGCCAATCAGAATGCAAAATTGACCGGCCCAGACCAGGGCTTTCTCTTCTCTCCGCTCGTCCTCACACGAAAGCCCTGGGAACGAGGTTGGGTCTGACTGTGAATCCCAACCGGAAATACAATGTAACTAGAAATGCATGCATGCAGCAACCCCTCGCCTGTATTTTTCAAAACACAGCATTGATTAATGATCTCACATGATGCTTAATTAACAATGTTGGGGTTAACATCAGCCATAATTGTGCGGAATAGTAGTTAAACAAGTGGTAGTATTTGAGAGAAACTAAAACGTCACAAACGCAAATGGTTCTGTGGTTTGTTTGATCATACAGTGTGTGTGTATATATTCATACCTTCGATAACGATGTGAACATAAGCTGTCTCAACTTTGAAGTACTAAAATGATGTCTATATTCACACTACGATTTCCATTATATATTGTGCCTGACATTAGGCTGAAAGTTGGAAAATATTTGCCAGAAACGAGCTTCGCGCCTTGGCGAAGCATGCATTTCAAGAAGTATTTAGCGGTAAACCAATCATATTCATTATAACAACATCCTCAAAGCACATGTCAAGGTCAAATGTATAAACCAATCACAACGCAGTTTAGAAGAGCCTTTACCAGGGTCTTCTCATTTTCTACGCGCCATGCACGAAGAAGACCCTGGGGACGAGGTTGATGGGTTGATATCAGCCATCGCGCTTGTTGGCATGCAGCATTACAGTACCTACTAACTAGTATTGCCCGTTGGCGATCGGTAGGGATGGAGACGGTAGCACGGCGAATGCGAACGAGCTTTTGGCGAAGCGATCATGCTATGCTCCGGTAATATGGCCCTGGTCATGTCTAACACCACCACATCTAGAACCTAAACGGTACCCTCTCCATCCCTTGATCACACAGTCACACGTGAATCACAAGAAGCGAAACACGTGGAAGAGAGAAATAAACAAACACACATACGCACGCACACCAAACAAAAAATGAAAAGTATGCTTACCTGAGATCCACATGCCCCAATGGCGCAAGGCTGATCACGAACTCATGTCCTAACAAAAAAGACTGAACCACAAGACACACATAAAAAAAAACAACCAACAACAAATACTCGACTGTCAGGACTCGGTGGTTGCTAGGGGAGGGAGGCGGGCGAAGCAAACGACCAGTTATCAACTGGTCGGCAAAGGCAAGGCTATTTATAGTATTAGGGGGGTAACAATACCCGGTGGTCAACCCCCGGCAAGTAACTATGCTGCGAGCATCTCCTCGACATTAACTTCCTTTATATTTTAAATAATAAATACATTTAATGATCTCACATGATGCTTAATTAACAATGCTGGGGTTAGCATCAGCCATAATTGTGCGGAATAGGCATTACAGTACCTACTAACTAGTATTGCCCGTTGCCGATCGGTAGGGATGGAGACGGTAGCACGGCGAAGCGAACGAGCTTGGCGAATGCGAACGAGCTTTTGGCGAAGCGATCATGCTAGGCTCCGGTAATACGACCATTGTCCAAGCTTCTTCCTGGTCATGTCTAACACTACCACATCTGGAACCTAAACGGTACCCTCTCCATAATGTCTCCAACCTGTTGTGGGGTTGGAGAAGGTTACCGTTAACCTCCTCCAGGTGTCTCCAACCCTACAGCAGCGGGGCAATACTTAGAAACATGTCCGGTGCGGTACGGATGTATCTGAGGTATGCCTGACTCGTCCAACGACCCAACGATTGAATTAGGTGATCAGGAATACCAGCGATAGCCGCGGACGTCACAGCCCCAATGCGAAACTAGGACAGGACACACAAGGGAGCCCCCACCCCTAAAGAACCAAACCAAAACAAACAAAAACAAAACACAAAAGGCACGCAAACGTCCTGAAAAAGAATAGTGCCACTAAATAGCGGTAAAGAATTCGGAACAAAAATAATGCTAATTGATTCGCCACAATAATGCTAATTAACTTGGAACAATACTGTTATTAATCGTTAGAACATGCTAATTAGACTGAGTAACATGAAATTAAATAACTCAGAATCACAAAGTCAGTTAATTGGCACCACAAAAAGGCATCAACAGTCTCAGACAGGAACGAAACGTCCGAAAATCTGGACCTCCTAACCTGCCGGTCACGAGAATATCGGTTATCTCTTTACGCCGTTTGTCAGGGCGAATCACCAGTTGATCGGCTACGAAGGAAAACGAGGGCGCATCAGCGACGACGTGGGCCTCCAACAGACACGCGAAAGCGGTAAACACCTCCGAAACAATCGTAGCAACTAATTTCGAAATGACGGAGGAACCAGGGGCCACGAAACCAAAACCGGGGAAACGCACCCTCGGAATAGATACCCTGGTACCGGCGACCGGGTACTGGCTAAAAACAAAGATGGCATACGTGGAAAAAATTTTTGTTCCTTGTCCTGCAGGAGCCGTCGCCAACTGTGGGACTAGCGCTTTAGGGAATGGAGGCCACTGACAAACACTCGGTAGGGTAGTGTCGCCGCAAATTTTTTTTTCCGTAGACAGTCGGACTCCTCATTGATAGTCGGACGCATCATTGACCAGCGTCCAGGCCTCCGCGCGTTATTGATGGATCCCTTCGTAACCCACTGGTGCACCATATATCCATCACTCCACGTTGTTCTTCTTCGACCACGTGTAGAAAGGTGAACGATTTGGCTTCGCGATGTCATAGCAAATCTACAAACGTGTTTTTCTTGTTCCGATAATACTTAAGAACTGTTATTGCGAGTCAGTAAAACTATATATCCCAATTGAAGAGAATCAGGATAAGATAACTAGTGTGCAAGAAAATACTGAAAGATTCAAAGCGACCATCAAGACTACTTTCCACAAATAGAAATATTGCAGAATACCCGTGCACTAGTAATATCATACATGTAGCCCGGCCACTATTTCACTGGATACGTATATACCAGATCAAATTGTCTCGTTCTAATATACACAAACTGATTACTAAGACAATATTACGAATTGATACTATAAAGGAAATATCATGCAAGACTTTTAATGTTTAATATTATGCTTAGTATGCTTTATAATTTAATTTTTCTCCCAGCGACGCTAATTAATCATAATCTGTCAAACACCAATGTCCGGTTGTGAGGAACATATTTACATATTACACCACATTTAAGATTTCTATAGCATGAGAATTTAATCCGGCTATTAATGCTAACTAACTGTCGCCTTGATCTCAAAATAACTACTTGACTGCGTATCCACGTATCCACTAAAATATAGAGCTAGCTACCTGTAGCATGAGAATTTGAGTCTAATGCTAATCTAACTGTATGCCTCGTTCTCGAAATAACTACTTCACTGCGTTATCCGCGTATCCACTAGAATTAGAGCTAGTCAGCTAGATTTAACACCATGACAATTTGATCTATTAATGCTAAGTTACTGTATTCCTCGTTGCTACCTTTACCACCATGGGATTTTAATCTATCAATCTATTTATTATTAATTTATTGAGAATTGAAATATAGATGTATTAGTACATCGTATCCATGATGTTTGAAAGGCACAGCTTAAAAATGGACGGGTATTCTGCAATCGCTCCGAAAAGATATACAAAAAACAGTTACAAAAGCAAATAAAAGCAAGTGGGAATGGCGAATTTAACTTAATACAATATTATGGGCAGATGTCATCACCACACAAGATATAATTGAAGCCACAATGTGTCCTGCTCAGATTTTGGCATCTCAATCAAGCAATACTGCCAATACAATATTTTGAAATCACCAATCGCGTGCGC